CAGTCTGCTCTGTTGGTTGGACATCCTAAGGTAAACATCTCTCGTGTGGGAGAAACTTACACAAATTGTCCTCCTCTCTCTTCAGAGACAATTAAAAAAAAGCTATAACTACAGAGGATGGACGTCGGGAGACAGAGAAGCAGGCATCAGAACAGACTGGGACGAGGAAGACAATTTACCGAGTGAGGGACGTGTTTATGAAGCAAGCCTGAGAAACTGACTTAGATCCCCAGAACTCCCGTAAAAGAGCCGTCCAGACATCGATAATTTTCAATTTTCATGTTTGTTCCTCATAATGGCAGCCTGGTCTGGCTCTGGCACTTCTGCCTTCTGGAACCTGATTGCCTGGGTGGGGTCCAGAGAAGTGTTAGGTCCCCTTGCTTACAACGTGGTTTTCGGAACCAGAGGTGCCAAGTCACGGTGGCCCACTATGCAAATGATACCAGATGCTACCACCCAGGGGTGACTTCCCATAGGAAATCCCAAAATATTCGTTATTCTAATCCTTATGTAATACTCGATCATCTAGGAAATTATCTAAAGACCTACGTCTTAGGCATTTCTGGATTCTAGAATGTCTTCTTTGCGTAGTTCTCCACTGCCTGAAAACTCCTTGAGCCCATTCATTTCTCCAGGAGAGAACTATACAGTCTAGGCAGAGAGTTTGGAGTTGGCTTTGGCTTCAATCCAGTCTGCCATCTATGGTATCCTGTAGGCTGCTTGACACCTCTAAGCCTCAGTTTCCCCATCCATGAAATGACATTAATATACCTACCCATGGGTTACTGTAAGGGATTGCTGAGGGCTCTGGGCAGTAATTGAGAGTCAGTACTTTATACATAAATATGATACTATAATAAAAGTATAATTACATTTGCAATAAATTTGCTAAATTTCTTTGCTTTTCACCCCCAACCCCCATGTAGTTGTTCTATTCTCCGGAAAAGGAGGGGATTCTTGAGGTTTGCCTAAGCACACTCCAGGATTTTAGGGGCTTTTCTTGTAGAGTTCTTGGACAAAGTCACCTTCAGCCTCTTCTCTCATGCTTTGCTTTACTGATTCGGATCCAATCTCCTCTCCACTTTCATCTCTCCAAATCTCCAAGCCCCAAATCTTTCTCATCTCTGCCAAGCTTAACATTAAAATTGGCTGCTCGGCTTCCGCCAGGCAACAGCTGTCGTATTTCAGGCGTCCTGATCTGTCTGCTCTGCGAAAGGTGGGGTTTTAGTCCATTGTTACTGAAAAATAATACCCTACACCGGGTCCAGCTTTGGCTTTGCAAGCCACAGTCCTATCCTCCACGGCAGTTAATCCCCCAGCAATTCTGGGGAGGGGGCAGAACAGGTCTTTTTATTCTCTAGAGGAGCAGCATGGCCCCCAAAGTGGGTTTCCTGGACCCCTTTTGTGGACGGATAAGTCTGGGGAAATTTGGAGTAGGTGACCATGTTGTCAACCTTTACCCCATGCAATGCAATTCTTCCAGAGTCAGGATACAGGGCCAGCGGACCCCTTCCCCCATCTAGAAAAACTATTATTGCTCTAGCCCTCCACTATCATACAGCGGATGACTTATTTCACTTTTATCTTCCTTGTCAAAGCCAGTGTCAGAAGGGTTGTAGGACCTGAGCTTTCCACACTCTGCCTTGCAGAACCCCTACCTTTACACACCTCCAGGGCACAGTGTGTGGTCCTTTCCACAGCTCTCCCAACCCTCCCATGGTCAGCTGTTAGGGCAGGGTTAATGCTGTGGGATGACCCCTCCCAGGCAAAGAGCACCAACGCCCTGTCCCCTGCCACCCAGCAGTGAGCGCAACTTCACAGACAAACCCGGTCTCTGAAGCTTTTCAGGTTTCTTGGCATCCATCCATGCTTAGCTCTCAGCCAAAGCATGGCCTCATTCCTTAGTAGGGTCCTTGGGGACACCACCCAGGCCCTGGGCTGGACGGACCCAGCCGAGGCCACACTGCCCCATTCCAAACCCTAACCTTGTAACACTCAAAGTTGCCCACACCATTGGAACTCTGGCAGGGATGCTATTGGTGCAACTCTCATCCTCCTCACCCTAGGCCTTACATCTTTTAGAAGTGACTCTGTCTGCCTTCTTCTGGGCTTGGGTCACATTTCGAGATTTTTTTTTACAGATCAATAACTTTATTCATTGTAACAAAGTGCACAACAAAAGTGACTTAAAGAAGAGTTTGTTTTGGCTCACAGTTTGAGGGGACACAGTCCGCTGTGGTGGTAAAATCGTGATGGCAGGAGTGTGAGACAGCTGGGAACACTGTGCCTGTAGGCAGCAAGGAGAGGCAAGGGAGCATGCTCAGCTCCCTCTTTATTCGGTTTAGGACCCTGCCCTAAAGATGCCTCTGTCCATGTTCAAGGTGGGTTTTCCCCTTCAGCTATGCCTTTTGAAGATGTCCTCACAGCATCCTCAGAGGTGTGTTTCCATGGTGACTCTGAATCTAACAAGGCTGGTGTCACACTGTCTCATAGTAGGTCCCACGCTGCAATGCTGTCTCCTGTTAACTTGGCACAGTGTTCCTCAGACTTTAGTGGGCAGGCAGACTCACCTGGGTCTTCTTAAAATGCAGATTGATTTAGCTATATTTCTCGTCACTATTGCAAAACACCTAGTAGAAGCAACTTAAAGGACAGAAGATTTATTTGGGCTCATGGCTCCAGTCTATCCATCATTGGGAGGAAGGCATGGAGCTTGTGGCAGTGGAAGAGCCTCCTCACATTTTGTAGAGGCAAGAACCGGAGGCAGCTATAATTTCATGGTCGGTCCCTAGTGCCCCACTTTTGACAGCTGGACCACAATAATAAAGGTTTCATAACTCCCCCAAATAGCACTGCCAGTTCAGACCCAAGTATTCAAAAACACGAGCCTATGGGGAAATATTCAGACCTAACCCATAACAGAACATTGGAGGGTTCAGCATCTGCTCTTTAAACCAGCTCCCTGGTGATGCTGATGCTGCAGGTCCATGGGCAGCACTTGGCATAGCAGGGATCTGTTCTCAGCTTTGTGTTAGAATTACCCGGGAACACTTTTTCAAGGTTATCATTAGGTCCCAATGAACGCCATATGAAACTATGTGAAGCAACCCAGAATAAGGGATTCTTAGACACTCCTGGGGGAGTCTTAGCTGCAGCCGCAGTATAGAAGCCCCAAGGCCAGCAGCTCTGAAGGGCTAGCCTCCATCTGCTCCACTCCCCACTTTCCTAAGGCCTGCAGGCATCATGGCTTCCAGGAATGGATTCATGGCTCACCTTGCAGATACTCAGCTTTTCTCTGGCTGGTTCAGTGCTGGCCCCTGACAGTGAGGAGCTCTAAGCAGGGAACAGTCATTCTGTATTCACTCGGAAGGATTGGGGGGAGGGGCTGTTGAAACCGACTTTTGATCTGGCTGCTTTACATGTGCTTACCCAGTCTCCCATTGGATCAGAGTTGCACAAGGAATGCTTCCCGCAAGCATCCTTCTCTAGCCCTGTGTGTCTCCCCAAGGCTGCTGCCCACTTCTGGAGCCTGCGTTGGAAAGCAGAAGACCCTTAGAGACCTTGACACTCAGAGGAACCCACCCAGAGAACTTGATCCCCACTTTTTCCTATCTGGTGCCTTGGCCATGGCCCTTAATGGGTTACGTTGGACTGCTTTGGGGTCACCATTTTTCTAGATAGATAGTTTTACAAGGGAAAGTGCAGAATGCTCATCTTTATATCTCTCATATCTGATAGGATGCATGAATAGATAGATGAGTGGATGGGTGGGTGGGTGGGTGGCTGGCTGGCTGACTGACTGGATGGATGGGTGGGTGGGTGGGTGAGTGGGTGGGTGGGTGGATGGATAGATGGGTGGATGGATGATGGATAGATAAATGGGTGTGTAGATGGATGGGTAGCTGATTGGCTGGATAGTTGCATAGCTGTATGGATAGGTGGATGGATGGATGGATGGATGGATGGATGGATGGATGGATGGATGGATGGGTGGATGGATGGATGTACAGACGGACAGATGGATGGATGCATGCATGGGTAGATGGGTGAATGAATAGATGTGTGGACAGATGGATGGACAGACAGATGACTAGATGGATAGACAAATGAGTGGATGGGTGGGTGGATGGATGGATGGGTGGATGGATGGATGAATAGATGGGTGGACAGATGGATGGATGAACAGACAGATGACTGGATGGATAGACAAATAAGTGGATGGGTGGATGGATGGATGGATGGATGGATGGATGGATGGATGGATGGATGGGCACATGGATGGGAGGATGTGGATGGATGGCAGAAAGATGGATGGTAATGTGTAGGAAGGGGAACTCAGAAGACAAGGGTGATGGAGGAAGGTCATTGGCTAATAAAGAAACTGGCTTGGCCCATTTTATTGGTTAGAACATAGGTGGGTGGAGTAAACAGAAGAGAATTCTGGGAGGAAGAGGAAGTGAGGTCAGACCCAACAGCTCTGCTCTCTGGAGCAGAGACGCCATGCTCAGCTCTCCCAGGCAGCTCCAACCCAGGATGGACGGAGGCTAGAATCTTCCCGGTAAGCGCACCTTGGGGTGCTTACACACATTACTAGAAATGGGCTAGTCCAGGTGCGAGAGTTAGCCGAGAAGAGGCTAGATAGAAATGGGCCAAGTAGTGTTTAAATGAATACAGTTTGTGTGTTGTTATTTCGGGCATGAGCTAGCAGGCGGCTGGGGTGCTGGGGACGTAGCCCCGCCGCCCCTTATTTCAACACAAGGGGATAGATACAAGCCTTAAGAGAAAGCTGTCGATCCCTGAGGGGCAGAGGGAGAGGGTCGCCCTCAGTGGAGATGTCTGGAAACTAGGAAGCAGCCTAGTTGCTCTTATTTATTCACTGAACTGGAACAGACTGTCTTGAGTTACTGCTTACCGCCTCCTGCTCACGCTCCCTCCCTGTCCCCATAGCCCATTGCTCCCGTGAGACAGCACTGCTGGCTGCCCAGTGGCCATCCCCGAAGATGAGCGCCTGTGGGAGAAAGGCCCTGACCCTGCTGAGCAGTGTCTTTGCTGTCTGCGGCCTGGGCCTGCTGGGCATCGCGGTCAGCACGGACTATTGGCTGTACCTGGAGGAAGGCATCATCCTTCCGCAGAACCAGAGCACAGAGGTCAAAATGTCCCTGCACTCGGGCCTCTGGCGGGTCTGCTTCCTTGCTGGTAAGCACAGTCCTACCCTGTCCCAAGGGGTTTTCTCCCTACTTAGAGACACTCAGGAGGTACCAGGAAACAACAGTTCAGCATAGACAATCTCTGCCAACTATGGGCAGTGCTGCAAGCAGCCAGCAGACTATAGACCCAAACTCAGACCCTAGTTCACAATGTCCAGAGAGCTCTCTCAGGTCCCAGGGTTTGCTTTCCTACTAAAAGATCCGTGCAAGCCTGGTTTTCCCACTCTGTGTTCCAGCACTGAATGACAGCTCACAATCTAAACAGCTCTCACAGGCCTTACCTTAGCTACCCACGTCACTGATGACACATAGCCTTCCCAATGACACTGCAAGGAAGGCTTATCATTGCCCCTTTACCAACGCGGAAGTGAAGACTGTAGCAGGCTAAGAGAATCTAGGCTGCTACCTCACTGACGTCCACAAGATTAAAGAACAGGAAACGTTCAGCAATTTCCTGTTCCTTTGTCGGTGAAATGGCCACACAAGGCAAACATAGACGTAGGACTTTCCAGGAAGGTGCAAATTTTGACCCTGCTATTGTGGACTTGGGACTTCTCTAGAACCAAGTGAGTCGCTACACCTAGAGCCCTGTGCTCAAGGCCTTTATCACAGCCAAGTCTCACCCTACACAAGAGTAGCATCCCCCTGTCCCAGAAGACCTGTGGAAGCTATGCGGTCCCTGATAGCCACAGTATGGTCCCTGAGCTTCTCTTATGGGATCCTGGAACCTGTGTTGTGTTGAGAGAAAGCACAGCTCTTTTCATCCCCTCTTGATGCTAGAGTTTTGATAGATAGGTCAGAGGTTGGATGTGGTTTAGCAGAAAGGACACATCTGGCTCCAGTCTGGCTACCCTGTCACTACCCTGTGTCACTCTGTAGAATCCACTTTAGGAACAGCTTCCAACTCTGACCTCATCTCCCCCTGCTCCAGATGCTGGGCATCCATCTCTGCCTAACCAGAGGCAGAGTTTGAAGCCACCAGGGTCTGACTGACAAAACTGGAGCTGAAGGGTGGGGGGCGTTATTGTACAAAAATCTACGCTCATGCGTCTGAGACAGCTATAGCACAGTCAAAAGCAACAGCTGGCACCAGGTGCTTGCTGGGTATAGATTTCAGGGCTGACCTCTTCCTATGCTTTCGTCCTCACTCTGGGAAGAAAGTGACATCAAGACATCTCCCCTGCCACCAGCCAAGGGATGAAAACTTCCCTAGAGTGTTTCTCCAGCCCAGGGACAGAGACACAGGCCCAAGGATCCTAGAAGCAGTTGGGACGTACTAACCTCAAATCCCTGTTGGAGTGGGACCCGGAAATGGCAGTGATTTCTTGTCTCTGCAGGCGAGGAGCGAGGACGGTGTTTCACCATCGAGTACGTGATGCCCATGAACTCCCAGATAACGTCAGAATCCACAGTCAACGTGCTAAGTAGGTGTCTAGAACGTTCTGAGCTGGGCCAATAGTGGGACAGAGCCAGACAAAGGGAAGAGTCAAACATCCCGAATCTTCCCAGGAGCTTAGCGCCCCTGGCCTTGGCTGCTTACGCTGGTCTAGTCCACTCGTGCTTGTGCTCCAGGCTCATCTTCCCAGGGCGAAGAGAGACTGCTGGAACCCCCATATCTCTGACCCCAGAAGTGAAGGAACACTCTCTGGACTGTAACCAGACTGACCTCATCACCACATTTGCTCTGACTCTCAGCGTGAACTTGCAGTGTTCCCGATACAGATCATCCCCTTGAGCTGCTTCTAGGACCCTCTGGATACAAACAGCTACCCACTCAGATCTGCTCTACAAAATGGCTTTAATACTCAATGTACATACAGCCAACACGCTTGTCCTGCAGACTTCAAATGACCTCTAAATACTGGCTAATCGCTTCTACCGTGTGAATGGCTAAGCTCAGTGCCAGCCCCTTCCCTCCTCAGAGGTCAGACTTATGTCCCATGGCCCCAAGCCCCAATCTTCTAGCCAGTGTGGTTGCTCTTTCCTGCCTCCATCCTGTAAGCACAAACTCGGTTGCTCTTGGGAGCCCACACGAATAACAAAGATACTCTATAGGTTGCCTCTCAGGAAACAGAGATAAAGAGCAAATTCTTTTTTTTTTTTATTAGTGTTTTGAGACAGAGTATTCTCTGCAGCTTTGGAGCCTTTCCTGGAACTAGCTCTTGTAGACCAGGCTGGCCTTGAATTCACAAAGATCCACCTGCCTCTGTCTCCTGAGTGCTGGGATTAAAGGCCTGTGCTACCATTGCCTGGCTTAAAGAGCAAATTCTTTAGTATACAGTAGAACTCCTCCCAAGTGATTATAAATTGAGAAATAAAGAGACCAGAACCAGTTCCCTGTAATCCTCAGAGCATGCCCTTAGAAATGGTGGACTGGATGTCTCTCAAAGCCACAGCAAAAGGGCATGACCAGGCTCCCTTACAGCTCTCTTGTAGACAGTGTAGATTCCCGGGAGGGGAGCTTTTGCCTGAAGGGGAGGCAAACCTCTGAATGTGTTGGCTGTTGGAGTCAGACCTTGCAAGCTGGAGACAAAAGCCCTGCCCGCACCAGGAGCCCCCCTAGGCCACTTTTGTGGGAGCAGGTCTCCAAGAACTTGTTGGTAGGCATGGCCGTACTTCCCGGAATGAGGCGAGGAAGGAAGGTCACTGTGGTAGCCTGACAGGCTGTTTCTTTGCCCCCTGCATTAGAAATGATTCGCTCGGCCACCCCCTTCCCGCTCGTCAGCCTCTTCTTCATGTTCATCGGGTTCATCCTAAGCAACATCGGGCACATTCGTCCCCACCGGACCATACTGGCCTTTGTCTCCGGCATCTTCTTTATCCTCTCAGGTAAGTTGTGTCGTTCTGTCTCCATACACCCTGGACTTTTGACTTTAAGCTCGAAAGCAATTCTTCTTTGGGAAGCCTCTTGACAGCAAGCCAACATGGACAAGGAATGATCTGAGCCAGTGCCTGTGGCAGAGCCAGGTTAGGGCTAAAGGAGACTTCTGATGTCCTTGGACCCACCCATGACCTTCCAAAAGAAAGCACATGAGGCTTCAGAGTTAGAGTGACCTGATGGGTTCACCCTGGGCAGAGCTGGAACAGGAACTCAGCAACTGTCCTCATGGCATACACCACCACTTCCTCTCCAGCTCCCACTGACGAGTATCCATTCCTGTGTCTGAAAGGGCTGCCTCCTTAGGTATGACTTTGGAAAATAAATGCATCACCCTTTGGAACAATGGTTCCTTCACCCCTCATCCTCAGCTACCTCCAGAGAGTCCTGCTTTCATAATCTAACCACACACCATATCCTGAGCTCACCAGACCCCTTCAACTTCTTCAGGGACTATCTTCAGGGACTATCACCAAGTTGTATTTTATTCAGTCAGTCAGTCAATCGGTCAGTCAGTCAGTGACCACATCTATTACACCCTATTCTGGGTGCTGGCATTACTCAAAGGTCAGGGTAGTGGAAGATATAAACATGCCGAGTGGAAATAGGAGCTCAGAGCGAAGGAGACTGTGATGGGGCCACTGGGAACCGCCACTGGGACCCAGATTAGTGGCTGAAATCCAGAACAAGGGTTGGTCAGAGAAAGCTAGAGGAGAAGCTGATCTATGCAGGGAATAGGAATTAGACAAAGACAGAATTAGAGAGAAAAAAGGGGCCCAGGGAGACGGAAAAGCTCTAAGTGGGGGGAACCCATGGAGTCTCTGGGGGCCTGAGGAAGTGTGTTGGGAAGGGAGACTACAGAGGCACCTGAATGGTCTTGAGATCTGAAACTTGGTAAGAAGCCTTGAGAAGATTCTGAGCCAAGGAGCAGCATCGGATATGAATATTAGAACTCGCACTGTTAGGAACCCTGAGGAAGGGAAGTGAGCCAGGGGCCAGGGAACCTGCACAGAGGTGGCTCTGGGAAGTACAGGAGATGGGCAGTAATGTCACCGGCTGAGGTGATAACTGTGACGGAAAGAAGTAGGAAGGCTCCTGTGACATCCAGAAGGTAGACTCACTAGGACCAGGACTAGGCTGTCCAGGGAGGCACCAAGGATGAGTGCTGTTTTCTTGCTGGGGCGTTCCTAGATCACATCCATGATTTAGGAGTCTCAGACAGAGAAGCAGCTTTGCACAAAGGTTGTAAGACTGGTGTGGGAAACACTGAGGGTGAGGTGTCCATTGTGGCACCAAGGAGAGGTATCTAGAAGGCGGCCAGACATCAGGGGCTGGAGCTCACGGAGTCACCTGAATCGAAGACAAAGATTGGAGAGCTCTCAGCCCCAGAGGATGAACGTATGAACCATGATGAGTGACTGAGAAATGTGTGAGAAGGCAAAGGAGTGTGGTGGGTAAGACAGGTGCCTTCTCCCTGGGGACCTCAGGAAGACCTTTTCTCTAGAGAACAGTGGACTGGCTTTCAGGGCACGCATTGTAAGTGCCTTGAATTGGCTGGGAAATAGAGTTCTAGGAGCTGATGCTCAGGTAGACTATAAAGTAGGTGGTTTGAGTAGGATGAAGATACAGTGGCTGGCTGGCTGGCTGGATGGATGGATGGATGGGTGGATGGAAGGATGGATGGATGGATGGATGGATGGATGGATGGATGGATGGATGAAAGGATGGGTGGGTGGGTGGATGGATGGATGGATGGATGGATGGATGGATGGGTGGATGGATGGATGGATGGAAGGAAGGATGGGTGGGTGGATGGATGGATGAATGGATGGATGAATGGATGGGTTGATGGCAGATAAGATGGATGGATAGAAAGGTTGGTGAACAGCTATAAGACAATAAAGGAAAAATGATTCTCTGGCATAGGCACCCTTATTGCCTACTGGCTTGCCAGTCCCTTTAGGACCATTCTCCCATTTCCCTGTCAGCATAATCTTTAAATCAGGTGGAAGGCAGATTACTTGACCCCTAAGAACCATTCTTCCTTGTTTTTTTCTTACACACACATACGCACACATACATATGCACACACACACACACACTCCTCTGCCCATCTTATTTTTTTGCTCTACCCACCAACAACCCACCTGCCATGCATTCTCCCTTCTAGTCCACCTTTCCACTCTTTCATCCCCGAAATGAGTCCAATAATACCTGGAATATCAGAGGCCACCATTGCTATGGTAGTATTCCGGCTAGCCAGAGCGGGGCAAACCCATGGCCAGGCTGTTAATTTTTCCTCCCGTGAACTCCAAAGCAGCCAAAATGATTGGCGATCAAGATGCCTGAGATTCCAACAGTGAGTGAATCACAGGACCATAAGTCTAGGATGGAGGTGACACACGGGCTTCATGACAACAGAGGGACGTTTGAGGGCAGCAGTGACTCACACTTGAGCTAAGAACAGGGGAAGGTTTGAATCACACCCATCTATCTTCCTTTCACATCCACCCTTGGAGAGGCCCCAATTTCCTAAAACAGTGTGGATGGCCCGAAACCTGGCCAGTTCTGTGGAGACCGATTAATTACACCTCGACTCAATTACACTCGCTAATTGGTGGAGCTGTTGCCTCAGGCGGTCACGTGCACAATGGCAGCTGGAGTTTGGAGCCCCAGTAGCCTCCTGGTTCGATGCTGGCCAGGATCTGAACACACTTCCCTTACATCTCCTGGCTGAAGATCTCAGAGAGGACACACTGTGTTACCAAGTGGTCTGCAGAGGCCCCAGGCCATAGTGACAGACTCCAGAGAGATGGGTACCATCCCCTGCTGGAGACAGGGATTAGAAGCCCTGCAGACAAGCCTTATCTTAGCCCTCACATTAATAAAAATCCTCTTGATAACTCAGGGTTCACACCACAGGATCATAACAATGTTTCAGGACAATTCAGTATCAGGAGCCCAGAGGAGGCCCAGTGAACAAGGATACAGAAGGATATCATGACAGAGGTCAGTATATCCATCGCTGGGCTTGTCTCAGCTCGGGAGAATGGTAGGACAGGGGGATATCGTACTTACACCTGTTAACTCCCTAGAAGATGCGGGTGTAGACAGAGACATCAGGAGGCTAGCTCATGCTCACTCTGGAGCTCCAAAGTGAAGGCTTTGATTCCAGCGATACCATATTGGCAAACTCCAGGCTGAACGTGCCTTCTCTCCCCTCCCCTCATCCAGGCCTCTCTCTTGTGGTGGGCCTGGTGCTGTACATCTCCAGCATCAATGATGAGATGCTCAACAGAACCAAGGATGCAGAGACCTATTTCAACTACAAATATGGATGGTCGTTTGCCTTCGCCGCCATCTCCTTCCTGTTAACAGAGGTATCCTGCCCCATACCGCCCTGTGCCAAGTGGTACTGCCCTACCCGGAAGGGAGGAGTCTAGCATCCCACAGTATCCTGGACCACCTACTCTACCACTCTTCCCCGGATGTACCTCACCCTGGCTTTCCCGGGTCTCTTCTATTATGAGGTTCCCAGAGCCCACTCCTGTTCCATGCACATTGTCCCTCCCGTTGGAGAGGCTCTATGACTGTGTTCCAGGAAGACCCAGCCGGGACATTACCAGTCCTCCCCCCACCCCACCCCGCCCCATCACTGAGCTCTCCTCTGCTTCTCTTTCACTGTAGAGTGCTGGGGTAATGTCTGTGTACCTGTTCATGAAGAGGTATACTGCCGAGGACATGTATCGACCTCACCCGGGCTTCTACCGGCCACGCCTAAGCAACTGTTCCGATTACTCTGGCCAGTTTCTCCATCCAGACGCCTGGATCAGGGGCCGCAGCCCCTCGGACATCTCCAGCGATGCCTCCCTACAGATGAACAGCAACTACCCGGCTTTGCTCAAGTGCCCAGACTACGACCAGATGTCCTCGTCTCCCTGCTGAGCTCTGGCCTCCTTCCCACCTGAACTTTGGATGGCTGGACAGCCTTTCCCTTTCCCCCTGAGCCGCGGCCCAGGCCGTTCCCTGCTTTGCCGTAGTCACCTGACCAATCCTCTCCCTGCTCCCAGAGTAGTAACTCTTCCTTCGGTGGGCATCAGAGCCTGGAGTCACAGGCATGCTGATTGGCTGAGGGCATGGTTGAAGTCCTGCCTCCAGAGTGCCAATCATAGCCTTGGGCCCCTGGGAAGCCAGTAGCCCTTGCTGTGGCTGTATCTGAAGATTCCCCGTGTTCGAGTTGTATTTTATTCTTGCACTTCCGGGTCAGCAAAGGCCAGGCTGGAGTTGCCGAGTTTCTGATATAGACAAAGCCAGACTTGGACACTTGCCAACCAAGCTGGCTCTCCATCCGTGGTCTATGCTGTGAGGCCAAAAGGTCATTCTGTTCCAGCGGTCTGGCTGGCTCAGAAATCTCAAGCAAACACTTTCTTAAGAGACACTCTATCCTTTGATGTCGTCAGTGCCCTCCACAAAACACATCTCTCTGTGTGACACTCTCCCCAAGGCCATGAACTTTCTGTCTTTCATCCTTCCAGAAAGCAGCTTCCCCGATCAGGGACTAAGGTAAAGTATTCAGCGGTGCCAACGAAGTCACCAAGGTGTTAACGGCTGAAGATGTCTTAATCCACATAGCCCCTTGATAAGGCATTCCACAGGGGCTTTTGATGCCTTAACCTAAAGAAGTGACAGATGACAAGAACTCAAGAATTTGATAGTTCTGTGTTCAGAGCTCCAAGCATTGTGTCCAGCCCTGGGGGCATTGTCCCTAACTTCAAGGACCGTGCTTCCATCCAAGGCTCTAGGATCTAGTTGTGCGGACAAGTGTCTGTGCCACCTAAGGACACTGGAGCTGCCGGCCGGGTTTGACAACACAGTGCGTTTTGAGCCCAAACAAGCCAGATTCCAGCTGATCCAGCTGCCTTGCCAAGGATGTCTGTGAACATGTAGGGGTTGCCAAGCTAATCCTAATAGGGGAAGCATCTGCTTCCCAGCTATGTGACATATGTGGACAGATCACATGCCTGCAGAAGGCCAGATAATGTGACCCTGCTCTTCTGGTGGGGAAGCTGAGCTGGGAGGCTGCAAGCAGCTTCCGGGGAAACCCCGTAAACCCCCATAGTTCTCCGGGTGTCAGTGCAGCTTGACCCTTGTTTATCCGGCGAGTTTGGAGAGGCAAGCCAATGTGGCGCTCTTTGCTGTGTATTTTTGCCATGCCCACTTTTGCCTCGCTCTCTTTAAGACACCAAATGTACCCGAACACACAAAGCCACAGCGGGTAACTCGCAGGCTCTGGCAAGTGGCACAGGAAACCACACAGCTGGTGGCTACTGAAGATCACTGGCTGAGTCAGCTTGGAAGAGGCCATAAGGACTGATCTGGGGGGGGGCATTTCCTCTGGCTTAGAGATAGCTACCTTCTTGCTGTGTGCCCATGTGCCTCTGAGACTTTGTGTGTGGTATATCCAGATTACCTCTTAAAAGGACCCCAGGGGCTGGGGCACTTGTCTAGCATGCATGAAGCCCTGGATTCAACCCCTAACACTATATAATCCAGGTGTGATGGCACACATCTGTATTCCTAACACTTGGAATGTAGAGGCAGAAGTTCAAGGTCACTCTCACCTACATAGCTAGTTTGATACCAGCCTGGGCTATTTGAGACTGTGTTTCAAAAACACTTTAAAGGCATCAATTATGGGTTAGAGCTCATTCCAATAAATTTGATGATCACTATTAATATAATCATTTAAGTACCTATACACAAATATATCCACATTCTGAGGTACTGCAGACTGGGGTCTTGGAGAACAAGTCTGAGAGAGGACACCTCTCAGTCCCTCATATGCAGGGTGCTTCGTAACAGTTCAGCCCCTTGGTTTCACAGCATAGTGGATGGGGAAGATGAGAGAAGCTGATTTTTGTCTCCGGGCTCAGCCACTGACTCACTGCGAATCCTTGGGCAACCCCTTCTATTCTGAGCAGCTCGGCTGAGAGTGTTTCCAAGCCCACTCTCCACGCCCACACCCACACCTCTCTAATGATTCGGTCCACATTGTTCTTGTCCGCCAGTTTCCGTATCTGCCTGTGAACTGAGAGCGACAGGCAGGTCCCAGCCTCCCACTCCACCGGCACCTCGTGATGATCGTCATCCGCTTCTGTCACCGCTTGCGAGGCTCTGTTTGGAAACGACGAAGTGGGGTTTTCAAGCCGGACAAGTGTTTAGACATGACTGACTCCGAGTTTTGTCAATGTTATTAACACCTAAGATGCCATCTCTCTCTCTCTAAAACACTTTCCTCGTCACTGCACCAGGCTTGTTTTTGTACACATGGGGAAGATAATAGAATTTAGTCCTAACTGCAAGCGGACTGTTGACTATGATATTATTATAGCAGGCCATCCCCTTCCTGAGACTGAGCTGGCTAGGTAAGGGAGGCAGGAGGTTCCCACCCTGGAACCGGCCATGCTCGCTTCCCTAGCAATGCGTCTGGGACCCTTTCTTCTCCCATGAGGGTATGGGTGGGTGTACCAACACTGTACCACCATCGTGATTCCTTTTCCATCTGTACCCTGGTCTCAGAAGCTATTCATAGCCTTTCCTTGATCAAAAGAATTTTAATCACACATGTAAGTATATAAACCCAACTCTTGCCATCTCTTGGTTGTGCTTTCTGGAACTGACTTTATCCTTGGGCCGGCAGCAAGATGATCACATAAAATATGATACGGAAAAGGTAACTGCACCAGCAGAGATGCAGGGGTATCCTTTCTTTTGTCATCCCTAGAGACAAAGACAACATCCCCAGATGTAAATCCCACAGACTCACCTCATATATCTCTGGCCAATTCTGGGTCACAAACCCATACCACACTTTGGTCAGAAAAATAGAATGACCATCTATAGTATAGAAGGAATTATCCCCCAAAACTTAAGGTGACGGCATCCATGTCCTGACTATTTGAGGGGGTCTGCTGGGCCTCAGCAAGGTGATTCTTGCTCAGAGTCTCATGGGAAGCTGAACTTGAGCTGTGGATGTTATTTCAAAGACTTCCTTGTTCATTTGCCTGGCCCTTGGGGTCCCCTGACAGGCAGGAGTTGAGGTTGTTGGGTGGAGCACCTGTGTACAGACAGGATTCCCTCACGGTCCAACAGCTGGGAGCTAAGAAAGAGTATCCCAGGAGTCATGTTGCTTGCTTTGGAGAAGCCTCAGAAGTGACCCAAGCCATACTTATTGTCATCTTCAAATCATCCAGGTTGAAGTGCAGGAACATAGATCCTGCTACTTAAAAGTCAAGAAGCCAACCTTCCACTGTAGGAGGAGCATTGGCACCCACTGTAGGGACCACCTTGGAAATAGAAGACATCACTTCATGACTGACTTTGCCCATGTTCTCCCAGCCCCAAGCTCCAGATGCTATTCTAGGGGTGAGAGCTGTGTCTCTAACAAACTTCCAGATTATAACAAGGTCATTGCATACTCTAGGCTCCAAGGATGGGGTTCTCGATCCCCTGAATATATTTTTTTAATTTCCTCGGAGAGTTCTGACCTCAGGACTAAGGATCCGATGGAATTTGCCATCAGAGATGGGGATAAAGTCACCGTCTCACTTCTCCTCATGAGGATTACTGGCTTCTTACGAAACGCAGGAAAGAAAGGATTAGAGAGTGGTAAGTAGGCCACAAAGGAGGCCGAAGGTCCCAGTAGCATCCTTGCTCCTCCCCAACCTTCAGTGGCCTCCCTCTCTCAGACTGTGCGCCTATGGGCAAGGTGCCATGTTCGTTGGCTTGAGCCCAGCACTTTGACTCCAGAGCCATCCCTCAAGCTGGCATCCATTAGGAAATAACAACAGCTTGCTCTTGAGAATCAGGATGGCGAGTGCTAAGCATTCCAGAGCCAAACTGCTCTTCTTCCTGTGGTCAGGGCCAAGAATGGACACCCAGTCCTGAGGAAGGCCAGCGGATCTTCAAAGGTGACCTTGTGGTCTCAGAACTTCAGCCAGTCTTCACTGCTGGCTTTTCAATATTCCTTTTGCAAGCTCTCGTCGTTCATTAACCAGGCTTGATGTCTTTGAAGCCATAAAGAGACCGTGTATTACCGTGTTCTCAGCAAACACGACTTCAGTCAAAATTGATTTTAAATCCACCTACACTCATATACCTCCCACCCTGTTCTAGATTCAGTGCAACCTGTGTGAGAACACTCTATAATCTATTATTTTCAAAACTCAAACACAAGGGCTGGAGAGATGGATGGTTCAGTGGTTAAGAGCAATTGCTGCTCTTGCAGAGAGCCTGGGTTTGGTACCCAGCACCCATGTGGTGGCTCACACTGGTCTATAACTCAAGTTCCAGAAGATCCAATGCCTTCCGCTGGTCTCCATGGGCACTGCACACATGTGGTGCCCTAGACATACAGACAAAACACTCATTTGTACATATAAAATAAAAATAAATAAATCTTTATTTAAAAATCCCAACAGAGCAAGAATTGTAAAAATCTCCTCAGATTAAGTTGTCTTTTATTAAGAAAATGGTAGAGTCTAAATTAAGTCTGCCCTATGAGAGATTCCAAGTGAGTATCACTGATGAAATCCACAGGAAGTCTCAATGCCCCGAAAGTCAAGGTCAGCTCTCAGGCTTGGTGCTCACTCAGAAAAGAACTCCCTTCTGTGAGCTCAAATACAAGCTCTTGTGAATGTCAGTTTTGACACCATGATGTCAGCTTTGGCTCCCACAGGAGGGCATCCTTAGACAGTATCACCGGCACGTATTTACAGCCTTCATCAAAGTGCACAATTCCCAATAAGTTTCTGTAAACGTGATCACATTTACCCCTTCGCACTACAAACGGGAGGATCAGGAGACATGAAGGAGTCTCTACACAGATTTAGAAACTTGGTGGCTGGGGAAACAGCTCGGTTAAGTGCGTGTCAATCAAGCGTGAGGACCCGAGTTTGACTCCCAGAACCCACATAGTGGCACATACCTGTAATCCCAGACTAGGAGACAGAGGTAGACGGATCCCTGGGGCTTGCTAGTCAGTCAAAC